ATTCTTCACATCTGCCTTTAATTTTGGCCAATAGAATTCTTTTTTGATTCTATATATTTGTTTTTTGTTAATTCCTAGTGACGTCCTAATGAAGTAATCATGACCTATATTCTATTTTTGAGGTCTTAAAAATTTGTCGGAACACTATAACCTGTCTTACAGATTGCCTACCATCTCTATCTCCCTTACAAGTTCTCAGTGCAGATCAAAGAGTTTGTTTTAAGTTTATATTTGGATGGATGATCCGAAAAGAATTCTACCCATGGCTGCGCTTGAAAAGCAAAATTCATGAACGGTACCTTTCGTTGTTCTCCGGAAAAAAATCCCTCGGGCATGGAAACAGAGTTATATGGACATCCTGAACCTGGAATAGGAAGGCCTTGATTTGGGTCTGTTACTTAATTTAAAGGTTTTGGCAGTTTTCCTCGTAAAATTTTTTCGTTTTGGATAAATTTGCCCAAAGGGAGGGGTTCAGCATTCTCGCAAAAAACCCCTTGGGTGAAATTTTAGACACATGTGCAACTTTTGGGTATCTTATTGAGGAAACTTTCGCCACACGTGGCTTTATCGTCCATACATAGGGGAAACTTGAAGAACAGGATGAGAATGAGGTAATCGTCCTCAATTGAGTCGTGGGTCAGCCCATAATTATTCAAGTTTGATGGTGACCCTGACTCAGGTTGAGGGGTTTTTTTTTGTTGTTTCTCCTATGTATGGAGATGAAGCCACTGTGTGGCGAAACGTTTTCCCCAATAAAAATACCCCCGATTGCACCGTGTCTAATTTAACAACGGTCGGGTTTTTTGAACCATTCTCTAAACCCTTTTGGGTGTTGCCCCATTATGGCCAAAACGGAGAAGAATTAACCATTTGGGTTCAGGAATCACGAGTGAAATGTTTAAAACCCCCTTAAAAACCCGATGTTTCATAGGAAATCCATCGGAACATTACAGTCAAATATCCAGTGTAAATTTGCCTTTCATAGATTCTATGCAAGGGGGCAGAAAATATTGCTCCCAGAAGGTTTCTAGCAAGACGGGAATGCAATGAAGTGTGTTCAAAAGGGGAAATACTCCCCCCTTTTTAAATGAGAAATATGCTACGTATCTCTAAAGATTTTTGATTTTAGTTGTTTTTAAGTCTTCCTGAAAGGAAATAAACCTTTACAGTAAAAGGGCCCCCCCTTTCTCTATTCTTTCAGGGGCATGTTTCTAGGGACTATTTTATTTTTTCCCTAAGGTTGGGGTTTTTGTGGGCAAATTTTGGGTGTGACCCATTGGTTGCATAGAAACAGACAAGGTTGACCTTACTCCTGCGACGTTGCAACTGGTGTCGCTCTGGATTCTGTTTTCGGGTTGCCAATGTTGAGGGTTTGTCGTCACCAGGTTGCCCCATAATTTTGGCACCGTGGCTCCCGGGGTATTGGTTGAGTAGACTTTTTCCCCCTTGGGGCCCTTCTTTTCCCCAAAATGTGACGACCCTTGCTCATGCCAGGCTGTAAAAAAAGATGGGACTGCTCAGACAAGGAAGGTTTGTTTAAAAGTATCACCCAACCTGGCTCCCTCCAATACGTGGTTGTCTGACCGCAGAAATACTCTAACCTTAATGCCAGACTCCAGCAGGTTGTCGATAGGATAAGGCACGAGATCATAAAAGGGTGATACACCTTTCGTATCCCAGCGGAAAAGTTTTGGTCTGCTGTGCACGAAATCCCCCGGTTTGACCAAGCTGTATTGCCTAATTGAATGATTCCATATACAAAAAACGGGGGATGCATTGATATGTCGGGGCCGGATTAAGAATTTGGGGGCCCCGGCTATTAGATGGGGGGCCCCTTTGATTTATGGGTGCAAACGCCCCTTCCATTTGGGGGGTGGGGGGGGGGCGGTTTTGGGAGCCTGTTTAAGCCCTAATTAAAAATTTTGGTATTTGTTAAAATTTTAAATGGGGAAATTTCTGGCTATTGTTTAAAATTTAATGGGAAAAGTACATAAAAACCAAAACCCCCTTTACCAACGTATTATAACTATCTTGTTAAATCATGCTTTTAAGAAATAAATCAAGACAGCAAAGATTACTGATTGGTTTTAAAAGTAGTGACATATGTACAATTATATTCAGAAACCATCAGCACTATTTTTCCCTTTAAATCCTGGCCATTTTGTTATATTGCTCATGCATAAAACATACAATCAATAAACTCAAAAAGTAAAGATTGTTTTTATTCACAGGCCTTTTTAAAAAAAATTTTTTTTTGGATTTCTATTGGAAAATCTCAATTATATTTTGAAAAACAAATTTTTTTGTTAGATCGACTCAATGGTCAAAAGGTAGGGTTTTAGGTAAGACACATTGAAAAGTTAGAAACTTTTTCCGAAAAGTTTCGCCCACAAGTAGGCTTTCTTTAGTCGAATACAGAAATAGAAAGGAACTAGGATGTGAAGACGATTTAATCAGTCTCACCCCTTAAAATCGTAAAATTTGAGGTGTCAGTCCCTCGGTGGAAAGTTTTAGTTTCCCTAGTCAGGAACTATCTGAAAATCAAACCAGTGCGGGATTAAATACTGTCGGAAGGAGAGGTGCAGGGGAGTATAGTAGTTGTAGTAGTAGTAGTGTGTGAGAGGCAATGAGAGGTCTGTCCCCCTCGATCCCAAACCCCTTTTCACTTGAGAAGTTGTCCAAGGTGTTTTCTGTACCAAAAGCCACGTTAGTGTTGACAAGATGAACATCAAAATGGAACATACCCACAGGTTTTAGGTAAGACACATATGCAAAAGTTAGACAAATTTATTCCGAAACGTTTTTCCTAACAGTAGGCTTCTTCAGTCGAAACAGAAAGTGGCGGGAAAAGAGAGTGTGAAGACTGTTCCTGCCTACTTTCTGTATTCGACTGAAGAAGCCCACTGTGTGGCGAAAAAGTTTCGGAAAAGTTTTAACTGTTGCAATGTGCTTACCTAAAACCCGTGGGTTTTTAACCATTTTTATGTTTTCTTGTCGACATGCAACACGTGGCATCTTGGACAGAAAACACCTTGGACAAGCTTCTAAGTGAGAAGGGTTGGATCGAGAGGGACATGACCTTCAGTTTCCTTCCCCTTACTATACTACTATACACACTACCCTGCCCTCTCTTCCGACAGTATTTAAGTTCCGCACTGTCGCTTTATCTTCAGATAGTTCCTGCTATGGAACTGAAATTCTCCAGGCCCGGGGTGAAACCTCAAAAATTTAAGACTTTAGGGGGATGGACTGATTACATCGTCTTCACACTCACTGTTCCCGCCTACTTTTGTTTCGATGAAGAAAACTAC